ATATATATGCACCCCATTCCCAGTCGGGGCCTACTCCTACCCCACCCCACCCCTTGGTCCTTGACACTGTGGAACATCAGGATGAGGGGCAAAATCCCAAGTAGAGCTGGAGGGAGGCAAGTGAGACTGGTGAGGGTTGAGGTCACCTGGGACCAAGGGTTCAACAGTCAGGATAACCGACTCCACCCAGATGGGGGCTGGGAACACTTGGGTTTGGGGTTCAAGATTTGGCAATACCTTGACCTGGGTTCCAAGCTGGGGTAGGGGTTTTGAAGAGCTTTGGTCCAGGGTTCAATATTTGAGAATGCCTTGCCCCAGGTTATGGCTTTAGGGCTGTGCATAGGAGAGCAGTGGGTCCCAGATCTCGGTTCAGGGAATGTCTTTGGGTCCATAGTTTGAGATTGGCCATGGATGCTCTGGTCTTAAGCCCCAGTTTTGGGGCTGGATGTAGGTGACTCTGAGTCCCAGGTGCAGAACTAGGGAAGTCTGGTCTTTAGGCAATGGGGGCTAGGTGTGAGGGATATCCTAGTTTGGGACCAGGATGGGGGTGGGGTGGCCACAGATTTCCTTGGTTTTTGACTGGGCAGGGGCCTGTCTCTAGGTTTCTATTATAAGGGCTGGGAAAGGGATCTGGGTATGGGCTGAGGGGTGGGGGGTGGTATTCTCCAGGTCCTGGGTACGGTTCCCAGGCCCCTAGGATCCAGCCTCCTGCTCTTGTCCTAGCGCCTCTAGTAGCAGGCCCATTGGTGTCCGCTTGAGACCAATGCTCTCGATCTTGTTCTCAATCTTGTTCTTAAGGTTGCGCACGCGCAGCGAGGCGTGCACCAGGATCACTGTGGGTGGTACCGAGAGGAGGAGTCAGTGGATTGACCTGCTGCCAATCCGCGCCCACCCAAGGGAACTGCACAGGCAGGCCAGTGGAGTGGTGAGGGGCCAAGACGCCTCTGATCCTGAAAGTGTGGCCGAGTAATTAGTGTTGCAGTGGGGCATGGCCAGGGAGGGCGCCCAGTAACGGGGACGTGCCCAGAGGAAGGCGCTTAACACCAGGAATGAGACTCTGAAAGGCAGTAGTAAGAGGGGTGTTCCCAGAAAGGGGGAGCGAAGCCAGGGCAGGCGCTTTTAACGGGGGCGTGGCCATGTTTCCTGGGCTTCTCAGCCCCCTCTCAGCCCGGGAACCAGGGCAGGGCGGCCGGCGCCTTAGGAACACGCTGGCCATTTTCCCGGCTGTCTTGGGGTAATGGAGACTCACGAAGCACTGGCCCGGCGATGCTGAGTAGGAAAGTGCCAGCGCCGCCCACGACCCAGAGAACGAGGAGGCTGACGGCAAGCACTGCGGCCAGGCAGGCTGCAGGGTGGCTGCGGCGGCAGCGGCGCACGGCTGCGCGGGTCTCAGCTGCCCACACCAGCGCGCTGACGGCCACCACCACTGTCAGTGCGCTTAGGAGTGTGTGCAGCGGGCGCACGTACCTGCGGGGACAAAGGAGCTAAGCTAGCCGGGCAGGCGGGGAAAGGGCCACCCGGCTTCCAGGACCACCATCTACCCGATCCTGGACCCTAGGAGCCATGGTCCCCAGCCGAGAGACACTACAGCCTGGCAAATACTCCCACCAGCCCTATCTCCAACAGGTCCATCCTGCAGGGCTTCCAACTCCTAAGACCCGTGTGGACCCTCATTTCCTCCCTGTCAATTCTACAGTCCCATCTTCCTGAGGTCCCCCGCATCAGGCCTTCCCATCCCACTAGACCCCTGGGGCTCCCAGGCCGTCCCTGGTTTTTCCTTCTACCCACGCAGGGCCCCTCTCCAGCCCCCGCCTCCCCACTCCCAAACTTCCCCTGCAGATCCCTCTTCCAGGCCTTCTGTCTCCACACATTTCCCTCTCCCCAGGTCCAGGGTCTTTACAGGACCCCCTTCCAGGCTTCCTCCACCCTCTAGATTCCTCCCCCCACCGTTGCTAGAACCCCAGCCCCACTCAAGTCCCTCCTCCAGACTCTCCATCCCTTTCTGGTCTCGGGCTTCCCAACCCTGGGTCCTCCCTCTGAGCCCAAGCTCCCCAACAAGTACCTGCTCCTGGCATGTTCCAGTCACAGCCAGGCTCTCCTCCAAGAAGATATTCTCGACAAGTCCACCTTCCAAACCTTTCAACCTTACCATGTCCCTGTCCCTGTCTGCCTTAAGTCCTCCAGGTCCGCCTTAATCTGGCCCCATCACCCACATCACCCTCCCCAGCCCCTAGGTACTCTCATGTCCCTCTTTCAGTCCCTCCTTATTTTCAGGTCCACCTCCCAGACAACTTTCCCCTTCAGTTCCACACTTCTCCATCCTCCCCAGGTCTTCCCTCCAGACCCGCCGTCCCCTCGCAGGCCCTCCTTGTAATCAGATTCCCCCTCCTTCAAGTACCCCCTTCCAAGCTCCTCAGGCCTAACATCTCTACTGAATTCGCCCTTCTCAGCCTCGCATTCCCCCTCCCGGTCCTTAAAGACCCGCGGGTCCGCCCGGCAGACATCCCCGGCCAACCGGCGCCTCCCTCCCTCACCCGGCCAAACCGAGACTGAAGCCAAAGCAGAGAAGGTAGTTGGTTTGGTAGTAGAGGAGGTTGTTGATAACGCGGTGGCACCATCGCTGCGGGTCGCATGGATCCGGAGCCGCCAGACGCGCCGACCCCAAAACAAAGTCGTCCAGGGCGCGTACCGGTGGCAGCCGCACCTCCGACATCCTGCCGGTCGATGTTGCTGGACCACCAGAAGGTCGACTGGACTACAACGCCCGTTATGCCACGCGCCGCCGCGGGGCTCACCGGGAGATGGAGTCTGGACCCGGCGGCTACTATCCTAACCGCCTAGGTGAACTGCGCAGGGACGGCAGCGCACGTGACCGGAAAATAACATGCCGTAAAGCAGCAAGGGCTGCCGGGAAATCAAACTTCCGCCACGGGGCGAGGCACTCCCAACTCTTTGGACTGCTCTGCGGCCCTGGGCGGGGCACCACCGTGGACTGCTGAGGGCGGTGCCGGCGGCTCCAGCGCCCAGTAGCCAGAGATAAGAGAGGAGGGACTGTCTGAAGGACCCGAGCTGGATTCCACGTCCTTCCCGTCAGGGTCCAGGAGGGCCACACCTCTCCTGGAAGCTCCATGCCCCGCCCCCGAGGTAAAGCCATAAATGCCATTCAGGGCCTTTTATTCACATTCATCACATCAGAGATCATCTCTTCCCGGGAAGCTTTTAAAAATCCCCAGGTTGGACTAAGACTTTCCCTTGGGGTTCCTGGCCTGGCCCTTTGGGCACACAGTCATTAAGAAGTGCTTGGGGGAAGTGAGCTGTTTATTTAGAGATAGCTCTGCTGAGTGAAAAGTGGGCACTGGCCCCATTAATGCTTGTTGGCTGGTGGCTTCCACAGCACTCTACCCCCAAGGCTCAGCTCTGTAATCTGCCACTGCAGGTCCCTAGCACAGCTCCCAGGGTCCTTAAAAGTCATCATCATCACAGATGTCAAGGTATACATCGAAAGCCTCTCTGTTGCAGTTTCCATCAGGAGTGAAGACATATTTGTGGAAGGTCCCATCTACGCAGATGGCTAGAGGAAGAGAGAGGGATGGTAAAAGGTTAAAGGCTGCCACAACCACACACTCCCACCTTCTCAGGCGTCCCATGGCGTAGGGTTTTCCTCCAGGCCTTTGCCCAAGTGCCATCTCCCTTATTTATGATGAAGTTGAGCTACACATTCTAGCTTCTCATGATTCTAAAATTCTTTCAGGACCAACCTGCAGGCCTTTGCCCATGCAGTACCCCAACCATGCGGCTATTCCCACTCACCAATGACAGAGTTGACGTTCTTGGAAGTGTTGCGACCAAAGGCGCAGATGCAGGCTGACTCAGCAGGCACGGTGAAGCTTGCCAGGCTCCACTGAGAGTCCACGTACTGCCCAATCATAGGCCCCACCTTGCCCACGCGAGCCAGCCTGCAGGCAGCACTGGCTAAGCCCAGGTGTGGTACATGAGCAGGGGGATGGGGGCGCCGCAGGGGGTGGGGCAGGGGATACTCACGCGGAGCGGCGGTTGAGGCGGGTATCCTTGAGAGCAAAGATATGGACCGTGCCCTTATCACTGGAAGCACAGAGGAATGAGGAGTCGTGGCTGAAGTTAATGCTGGAAGACAGAGCAGCAGTGATGCCCACATGTCACATAGCATGGGGTCACCAGCCCACAATGCATGCTTTGTGCTCACCAGTAGAGGGTTGCAGGGTCAGTGCCTCGGCGCAGCTCCACCAGTTTCTCCTTGGATTGCGTGTCAAAGAGGCGAATGAGGGTACCCTTCTGGGAGGCTGAGGCTACTACGGTGCCTGGCTGATTCAGGGACACGCAGGCTACATCACTCTGATGGGCATTAATGGTGAATGGAGCAGATGAGGTGCCAGGCTTTGTGCTTGCCAGGTCCTGGGGTAGGAAGGAGCAGTTCTGGTTGGGGGCTATGGAGAGGAGGGGCCAAGAGTCCACAGGGAGAGCCAGTCCACCCACCTACCCACCCTTGTCCCCTGTACGGCTCACCACAAGTTGCAGACTCCCGCACTTGTGCCCTGGGAACACTAACAATTGCTTCTCCAGGCTGGGGCAGAGGTCACAGAGCCCTAGGGTATGAAGATGAAGGTGGGGTGCGCTGCTAAGGACGAGGCAGGGTCTCAGAATGGAAAGAGCTGGATAAGGGCCAGACTTCAAGCCCCCATGATACATGTCACCCACAGGACCCTCAGGGGGTTCAGCTCAGTTGCGTGCCCCATCAGCTACCAAGGTCCCCTTCTTCCCTGTGGGATTCTAGTAAGCTGCTATGACAGCCCCAGGAGGCCCAGGGATCCCTGAAACACCCACATCCTCACTAAGTGTTTCTTCTGCTCTGCCATTTGGGAGCACCCAGGAGTGGGGCAGGGCGCAGGGCAGGGAGAGAGAACCAGCTGCAGGATGTAAAGATGGATAGACTGCGAGCGTGAGCATCACTGCACACTCTCCCTTCCTCTTTCCCAGTTCCTCTGTGTGTGTGTCCCTTCCTTTCTCTTCTCATCTCTGTCCCTCTTCCTGTCCACTGTCTCACGCCCTTACACCTGCATATTTGGGTCCTCTTACCCTTGGGGTTGTCCCGTGTATCAAACTCAAACAGCTTCCGGGGATTGTCGGGGAAGGAGTACACGTAGATGCGGTTCCTCAGCACAATCACGATCCTGCGGGCCTCACAGAACATAGGACAGCCATGAGGGGAAGGCAGGAAGCCCAAGCGGGACTAACCCTCTCACCTGCTATGGGGACCTCCTACCCTCCACCCCGGTCCTCCTCAGGCTCACTTGTCATGGCGCATGCGCACAGCCAGCACTGGCTTGGTGAAGGTGAACTCCAGCACCAGCTTGTCCTTGGAATCCTTGCCCTCCCGGGCATCGTCCCAGATCAGCACTGCTGGGCAGGTGGGTGGGTTGTTGGGGCCAAGGTTTAGGGTGAGGGCCAGCCCTGGTGACATAGGACCCACTCCTACTCCCCACGAGACCTCAACCCACTTGCTTAGCCTTTCACTAAACACCCAATGTCAGCCTCACACAGCATGAACACTTACGGACATGATCCCTGAGAGAACCGGTTCTAGAATTCTTACATACAGATGAGGAAACTGAGGTTCAGGGGGGTTGAGTGCCTGGCCAAGGAGCTCACAGCCCATTAGCAACGAAATAGGGACCCACACTCAGGCCTGTAAGTTCCCCTCAGTAACCATTTCTGCCTCCTGGGTCCTAGTCCATACCCCCAGGAGATTTCTATGAAAACTCCTAGGGCTCTGTGACTCACCTAAGGCGACTCCTGCCATGTCCTAGTGGGATCAACAAGAACAACCCTTAAACCAAGATGGCATTTGAGGCTCAAACCAAGGGGGCATTGGGGAGACAGCTCCAAGATTTTAAAACCTATTGGTTGTATGACCTTGGATAAGTCACTTAACCTCACCGGGCTTCAGTTTCCTCATTGGTAAAAATGGGGATAATGATACTTCCTACCCCATAGAGTTACTGTGAGGACTAAATGAGTTAATACATGTTAAGTACTTAAGGACAGCACCAGGCTCACAGTAAGTGCTCCATAGGTAAGGATGTGGCATACAGGAGGCACTCAATAAGTGTTTTAAAAATGAAAACAACACCAAGCTTCTCAAGCTATGAGATCCATGACTTCCAGGCTGTAGGCCACACTGTGTGACTGAGGTGCTCTGACATCTTCATCTGCCAGTGCCTCGGGGTGCCTGTGGGAGGCCAGGAATCCAGGGAATCTGGGCCAAGGGCAGGATGAGGCCACTTACCTGATATCTCTGAGAACTTGGGGCTGCTACCACCGCCCACCAGGGCCAGAAGGTTGGAGCGGTGCAGCATCTCCACCAGGCCCATGCTGCCCACCTGCTCATGGTCTGGACAGGGACCAGGGTGTCAGTGGAGGTGGGAGCCAATGCCCAGCCCAGCCCTTCTGCCCATTGCTCTCCCCCACCAACAGCTCACCCAGGTGCCCCTTCTCCATCAATGGCTCCATATTGTAGATGCGCACACCGGTCTCCATGGCGCAGCAAAAGCAGCCTGAGGGGTGAAAGGAATCCGGACTGCCTCAAAGAATACCCAGGTGGAAAGCTGGAAGCCCATGCCCACCTCTGATCCTCCTCTCCCTCCCTCCAAGTAGGGTACAAATCCAAGCTTCTCTCACTTTGGTCTTGGTTGAAACGCAGGCTTGTCACTCCTCTAAGTGGCTGCTGAGTCATGGTCCGGGATTGCTCTCCTGGACACGAATGGGATAGAGATGGAAGAGTCCTGGGGTCGCCCCGCCTAAAACTCCTGTCCCCAACTGATTTCTTCTTCCTCTTCCCACTCTGCTAACTACTGACTCTGGCAGGACTGCAAAGAAGATAAAAACAGGGGGAGAGTCCTGGGGTCTCACCCTTGGGGTTGTCCTTTTAGCTCCCAAGACCCCAAACAACATGGCCAGGAAATCCTCCCACTTTTTCATATTTGGCCAACCCCAGTTCCAGGCCTGAAATTACCCCGCCTCCCCCTTACACACTGGCCCTCACTGACTCATCAGGAAGCAATGGGGAAGGGGGTGCCCCAGTGATATCTCCAACTCCAGCCAATCTTGGCCCCAATGCAGGACATGGCCTGGAACCACTCGCAACCCACTTCTTATCTTCACACCTGGACCTAGCACCCAACTCCACCTATCAGTAAATAAGGAAAAGAGCACCTCTTTTTGCACCTCCATGACTTGGCCCTGAGACTGCTATGCTTGGTCCACCACTCTCAGGAACTCCCCTGCTCATGCCCTTCTAACTCTACCCCAATCTATTCAACCACCCCAGAGTCGTCTCACACCTTCCCCCCTTCACAGGCTTCCAAATCCCTTGGGATGACCCCTTCTCATACCTTGCTCATTCCCAACCAGGGCCAGCCTGGATGTTCCCGTAGATCTCCCTCATGCACTCATGCCCCTACCTAGGGATTACCCTATCACTCTAAAGTCCCCACCCCTGAGACATCTTTGTGCTCTGCTGTCCTTGACTCCAACATGACCCATCCTCATGAACGCCACCCCCACTAAGATTCCTTCTCTAAACCCCTAGCCTCTCTCCAAGACCCTGCCCAAGGGCACCCCCACCCTCTCAAGACCCTTGCTCAGAACAAATCATCCCAAACCCCTGCCTAAGAGGATCTCAACTCCCTAAGGTGCCTGACCAGGAACCCATGCCCCAAGATTACTGCCTTAGAGCCTCCATTCTCCCTTTGAGCCCTCATCTCCCCAAGAACTCTGCCCAGGCGCACCCAGTCCCCATCCTCCAAGAGCCCAAACCTCCTACCTTTCCCCCGTGTAACACCCTTCACCAGACCGCCTCACTCCCAGTATTTGGACAGCTCCACCTTAAACCCATTCTCTGGACAGCTCCACCTTCCAAGACCCCTGTTTTGAACCTCCATGCAAATGCTCGCGCCACCCAAGAACTCTGCCCGGAAAGCCTCACCCCTCTCTCAAGACTGTCCTCGTACTTATTGCAATGCCAGCATCCACTCAACAGCCCTGTCCTAGAACCCCACCTACCAAGACCCCTACTCAAAAGACCCTCCCCATCCCCCAGACCCCAAGCAACCCTGGAATTGTGCTCCAGCTTGCTGCCGCTGTCACCGACCTGACGTCCGCGCGTCCCCGACCCCGGCCCCACCTGTCGGTGCCGCCCGCGGCACGGCTTTCTGACCTCCCGGGCCTTGGCGCCCGGCTCCGGTGTTTACATCAGGCCCCGCTTCCGGGGGAGGGAGTCTGTGACCGGAAATGACTCATCCTGGCCGGAAAAACGGGGCCGCAGTCCTCCTTGCCCGGTTCTCCGGTCTTTGGAGCATCCAGCATGAGCGAGGAGGCCGCGGGGAGCGGAGGAAGGTCGGCTGGGGGATCCGGAGGCAGAAGAGGCTCCCCCCAAGGGCAAGCCTGTCTGAGGGAACCAGGGAGGGGTAGGGCAGAGAGAGAGAGCGCGAGCGAGCGAGAGCGCCTTCCCCTTGCAAAACTGCGAGCAGCTAACAACTCGGTAACCTATTGGGGAGCTAGAGGTGTTAACCCTCTGGGCTCACAAAGCTTGGACCTCCAAGGTGGGCTAGAGTAGCCGCCCCCGTTCGCATTACGGAGTCATCCCAGACTTCTAGAGGTGGTGGCTCGAGAGGCTCGAGAGGCTCGAGAGGCTCCAGGCGGGGGCGGACCTGGAGACCTTGAAAGTTTAGACTTTATCCTCTTAGCCAGGGGAAGCCAGGGATGAGATTTTGCTTGCTTTCTCCCACCCTACCTCCCAGCTCTGTTTTATTTACAAAACAAAAAATAGGTTTTTGTACAGCTATTGTGTACCCATAATAATTAAAATCAAAAATTTTTTAAAATAGTTTTTGATGGTAAAAGATATGAATGCTTACTGTGAAAAAAGGTCCTGAAGTATGTACATACTGGAAGTATTTCACTTAAACTTTAAATTTTGAGATAATATAGTTACGCAGTTGTAAGGAATAATACAGAGAAATCTTGTACTTTTATTACAATCAAGGTGCTGACGTTGATAGAATCCGCCCATCCTTTTTCTTAAAGTATTGTTTTGATGCTTCTATTTTTTCATATGTTAATAGATAAGGACATCTGTTTAACTCATCCTTTTTAACTGGCTCATGATATTCTATGGTATACATGTAGCATTGTTCAGCTCTTCCCCTATTGATGGCCCTCTAGGTTATTTCAGATACTGTGTCATTAACATCCATGGACACACTTGTGAATTTTGGCCCCGTATATTCCCCTTGGTGTGACTCCATTGCTGTGTTCCTCAACAATGCCAGTTATCTGGCTTTCTTAAGTCTCTACTTCCAAACACCACAGAGCATATTTAACTCATTTTAGTTTGGCAAGATCATTGATGAATAATAATCTTGCCAAACCAGCAATCACTTTTCTGCCCTCTTTTGTGATCTTCTAGTGCAATCCACAGTTTCTTGCTCTCACTCTCCTGGTTATCTTCTCCATCTCTGGCTGCTCCTCCAATTGTATCCAATTTCCAAATATTGGAGTATCCTTGGGTATGATCCTGGCCCCCCTTAATTTTTTGCCAATATTCTCTCCCTAGGTGACTCCATCTTGTTTCATGGCCTTAATTACTGCAAATATTTGGAAGATCCTCTAATTTAGGCCTGTAGCCTAAACCTCTTTCCTGGACACCAGACTCACGTATACTGTGATGACCTGTTTGACATGTTCATGTGGATGACTCAGGCTTACCCATGCAAACGTCTCTTGCATTTTCCTTGCTCAGACACCCCCCTATTCCTTCATCTCAACCAATGGCACAACACTCAGTTTGTTAGTTGAGTCAAAGAGCAGATATATCATGCCAATTTGTTGTTGTATAGTGGCCTGATCATAGCTCACTGCAGCTTTGAACTCCTGGGCTCAAGTGATCCTCTTGCCTCAGCCTCCCAAGTAGCTGAGACTGAAGGGGCATGCCACCACACTCAGCTCATTATTTTTTGTAGAGACAGGATCTTGCTATGTTGCCCAGGCTGGCCTTAAAACTCCTGGCCTCAAGAGATCCTCCCACCTCGGGCCTTCCAATGTGCTGGGATTAGAGTTGTGAGCCACCATGCCCAGCCCCAGATTGGATTTCTAAAGATGAAAAATACACTGGATAGGATTAATGACTAGACTTTACAGAAAAGAAAGATTAGTGACCTGAAGTCATAACAATAGAAACTAACAAAACGAAACACAGAGAATAAAAGAATACAAAAAAAGTATAAATGAGCTGTGGGACAATTTCATGTGGCCTAATATACAGGTAAATTGATCCCCAAAGGAGAAGGGGGGGACAGAAAAAGTATGTGAGAAATAAAGTCCTGAAACTTTCCCAAATTAATAAAAAATATAAACCCACAGATCCAAGAAGTTCAACAAACCTCAGCACAAGAAACATGAAGGATACTACACAAAGATACATTGTAATAAAATTGCTTCAAATCAGTGATACACAGAATATCCTAAAAGCCCCCCAAGAAAAAAGACATGTTCCCTACATAAGAAAGAGAAGAATGATGTCAGATTTCTCATCAGAAACAATGCAAAGAACACAGTAAAGCAACATCTTTAAGGTAGTGAAAGAGGAGTGCACTTCTGGAATGGCAGCGTAAGAAACTCCAAAAATCCACTCCTCCATAAAAACAATGAGAACACAGCCAAAATGTCCAAAATCAACTTTCTGAGAACTCTAGAAATTAGCCAAAGGCTTCTAAAAATGTGAGGACCCTTTGTTTAAGACAGGCAGTGGAATATTGGTAAGAATGAGCTTTGTGGCGTTTTATGTGCCCCATTCCTGTCCCCCACTCACCAGCTCCATGGCACCAGTGAAAACCAGCAGCCCAGCAGAATAGAGGGAGGAGAAAGGGCTTGGAGCTCCCTTTGTCTCCAGAGATATGTCTTTCTTTTTTTTAACCCTCATGTGTTTACATATAACATAAATAACTGTTTTCCAAAACAAAACAAAAGAAAATATTTACTGAGAAGAGTGGTATTGTTCTAGAATTCTACAAATCTGTTTAATGTTTGGCTTAATAGAAGACAGCTAGAGTCTATTATTTGCTTCTGCATTCAATCTCTTGTGATGTCACATATTGTGTGACCTCTGGAAAACCTTACTGTACAGTTGTGAGAGAATGAGTGTGCGAAAGGCAAATAATGTCTTAATATCATGAAAATACTTTTGGCCTCCCAGACCCCCTAAAAGGATCTCGAGGACTCCCAGGGATTCCCAGACCACACTCAGAACTACTTATCTAGGCTGTTAAAGCTTCTGATTGTAAAGGTACCAGTTCACTGTCACCTCCACAACGAGTGTTTTGCCTCACCTTTTTCCTGGAGCAAATAGGGTTTAACATGTTACTTGAATTAAGATGGGTTGCTAAGTCTTATGTTCTTTTTACTTTACTTTTGAAACTTGTGATTACTTACTTAAGGCTGTACATTAACAGAACAGAGAATGAAGAAAGATGTATATTTTTGTCATACAAAGTCATTATGAGGAGGGGTCTTAGGATTGAAAAGGACAAAATTCCAGTGACGTTGTTGAAATCCAAACTTGGATGAAAGGGTAGGCATTCCAGATTTGTGGGAATGAGTTGTAATGATCTATACCTCAGTCAAAATCTTCCTCAATTTTGCTTGCAGTCACTGGCAGGGAAACAAACATCTTCCTCAAAACATGAATCTTGAAGCTAAATATTACTCTGCTCAGATCCAGTTGAGGCATCTTTAATATTAATATTTAATATTTAAATGTTCCTTTTTGGAACATTTGACCTTCTTTGTGGGTGTACTTCACTGAACTAATCTCCTTTCTGTAATGCATCCTGGAAAATGGATTCAGTCTGTGGATTGAGGAATTGTTTAAGTTTCACTCTGATATTTTTTTCTCCCCCTACTCTGCTATTTTGAAAAGCAGCATCCTGATTTCCACGTGCCTTCATTCATTTGTTCAACAAATATTTATTGAGTGCCCACAGCATAGCAGGCACACCATACCAGGTGCTGGGAATAGAACCAGAAGCAGAACAATATCCTTGTCCTTGGTGGAGAAAGACAATGAAATATACTAGATGGAGAGAAAAAAGATTAGGAGACAGAAAAGGCTAGGGTAGGGGTACGGGTTGCTATTTTATTTGGGGTGGTCAGAGAAGCTTCTCTAATAAGGTGACCTTTGAGCAGAGACCTGAAGGAAGTGAGGGAGTGAGCTTTGTGGATATTTCGGGGAGAAGCTTTTCTGGCAGAAGAAGGAATAGCAGGGATATGAGTGTGGCTTGAGCAGGTGAGGTCACAGAGGTATGGGGTGGGGCCAGATAATGGAGGGCCTTGTAGGCTATTTTAAAGCCATTGGCTGCTATTTACAGCGAGATAGGGAACGATTTGGGAGGTTTGGAGAAAGGAGTGAGACATGATCTGACTTTTATTATATATATATATATATATATATATTTTAATAAGAGACGGTTTCTCACTCTTGCTCAGGCTGGTCTCGAACTCCTGAGCTCAAGCGATCCTCCTGCCTCAGCCCCCCAGAGTGCTAGGATTACAGGCATGACCCACCACGCTGGGCCTTTAATTTTAATTTTTTTCTATTTCCATTTGTTTCCTTTGACAGGATACAAGACAAACACTAGTTTGCCTGAGTTTTAAAAGGATATTTCCTTTGCCCCACTTGAATGACCAATAAAGACATAAGTCTAATTGGTGATCTGATTTTTAATAAGAGCCCTGGCTGCTATGTGTAGACTAAGGGGGGGAGCAGGGGAAGGAGGAAGCAAGAAGGGCAATTAGGAGGCTATCGCAGTAAATCAGGCAATAGTTTTTGGTAGCTAGGACATTTGGCAGTGGAGGAGATAAGATGTATTCTGGAATTATTTTGAAGGAAGAGCTGAAGGGATTTGTGGATAGATTGGACATAGGGTGTGAGAAAGATAGGAGTTAGGAATGACTCCAGGTGGGCGGGGTTGAAGTGGAAAATTAGAAAATTCCACTAACGTGGAATTCTTAGGAAATTTTACTACCGGGTTTTTTTTTCCTTGTGATTCTTTTCTGGGCCTCCTCCTCCTCCCCGCAACCTTTTCCCCGGCAGCTGCCCCCCTCATAAATCAAACATTTGTTGATTGATTAGGAGTTAGGAATGACTCCAGGTGGGCGGGGTTGAAGTGGAAAATTAGAAAATTCCACTAACGTGGAATTCTTAGGAAATTTTACTACCGGGTTTTTTTTCCTTGTGATTCTTTTCTGGGCCTCCTCCTCCTCCCCTGCAACCTTTTCCCCGGCAGCTGCCACCCTCATAAATCACCTGTAGCAATTAGTGTACCAGGCTGTGAAGTAGCTTAGGACTCTGCCTCACTAAAGTTAACCCTGTTGTAACCGTGCCCCACCCCCTTAAGCAGAGTGTATAAAAGACTGCAATGCTCTTTGGTGCTCAGAATTTGGGAGGAAAAATCCCCCTCTGAGCCCGCTGGCGAATAAACCTGTTTTGCCAATATTTCTGTGTGAGTGTCGGTCTATTCCCGGTCATCTCTGCTGTAACATTTTGACTCCCTGACCGGGAAACACCCCGATTGCGCTGGCCGTTGGGGCACCGGCTCAGGACGGACGTTGGCCGACCGACCCTGACGACCGGCGGGGAATCCAGGCGCCTGGACCCCGGTTGGGTACAATTTCTTCTCCATTTGGAGGGGCTCTGCCAGCCAACGATCTCCGGACCCGCCCGGACACCGGTGAGGTGTAGGCAACCAGGAATGGCCATCTGAACCATCTGAACTGCGGTAAGGTCCTGGGACCCTGTCCAAAGGAAGCCAGGCCCGTCTAAGGATGGAAGGGGAGACTGATCACCTCCTAAAGGAAAGGTTGAAATTCCCAGAGGGGGAATGTAAAACCTCTGTGTGTCCCAGGAAGGCTGAAATTCCCAGAGGGGGAATGTAAAACCTCTGTCTGTTCCAGAAAGGCTAGAAATTTCCCAGGGGGGAGAATGTAATAGCCTGTGTGTGTGTGTGTGTGTGTGTGTGTGTGTGAGTGCTGCGGCTCCAGGGCCAAAAGCTACGGAGCGGAGTGTAATCGGGTCTGTACCTGCGTTTGTGTGGCAGTGTCACAAGGCATAACAGTGACTCACTCTCCCCGAAAAGGGAGTCACTTGGCCCGGGAATTATACGGGACCACCTTTAGCCAAGACGTGCCTAAAATCCCAGTGAGGGGAGCAGCCAGGCGGACAACTGAAAGTAACCCCTTCCCCCTTTTTCTGTGACTCCAACCAGTAGGAACACCATGGGAGGACCGAGTCCAAACCAACTGCACTCAGGTACATGATCAAAAATTTTAAGAAGGAATTTTCCGGCGACTGCGGAGTTAAAATGACTCCGAATTGCCTCCGCACACTCTGCGAAGTAGAGTGGCCATCCTTTTGGAGTTAGGTGGCCCGATTCAGGCACCCCCGACACTTCTATTACCTAGGCAGTCTGAAAACAAGTTATAGGTACCCCAGGACACCCAGATCAGTTCCCCTATATCGATTCCTGGCTAGGAATTGCCCAAAATCTGCCTTCTTGGGTCCGGTTCTGTGTAGAAAAGGGACAGAGCAGGGTACTGTCCGCCCAGCGGCCGCGGAGGCCCCTTTGATCCCAGCCCTAAGCCTGTGCACGGAGAGCTGTCGTAAGATGAACTCCCCCTCACCGTCTCTGTTCTGCTCGGAACCCAACTGTATCCCTCCAATTGCCGGTCTGTGGCCACTGCCAGTGCCCCGCGCCCCTCCCCGCGCGAGCTCCCGCCTCTGCACCCGCAACAGGCTGAGGGCCGCCACCTGCCGGGACCGGCAGGAGCACACGGCTGCGGAGCGGGGCAGGACTGGGGACAGCACCTTTTATCCCCGGACACCCCTGGAAGCGTGCTGGCGGGTGCACGGAGGCGGTGGGCAGCCCTGACATGAAAGAGCCAACGCACAGAGTGGGCATGGGCTACGGGCGTGGCGCCGGCGCGGAGGTCGGGGGGGCTGCAGCTGGGCCGCCCGGGCGTGGTGGTGGCGCTGACAGCTGCGCTCCTGACCGCGGGCTGGGCCAGCCAGTACAACCATGTGAGCTACCAGTCGGCTCGCTCCCAAGCAGCAGCTTCTACGCCAAGCCGCCACAGTATGTGGACATTGCAGCAGACCTGTGGCTGTGCCACAATGTGGGCTACAAGAGGATGGTGCCGCCCAACCTGCTCAAGCACGAGACCATGGCGAAGGTGAAGCATCAGGCCAGCAACTGGGTGCCCCTGCCTAATAAGAACCGCCACATGGGCACGCAGGTGCAAGTGTCTGTCCCCCACTGGCCTCAGTTTTGTTCTCTGATAAATAGTACATCAGGCGCAGGTGACGGCAGTTTGTGCCACTGCCGTGTTGCTCTAGGCTTGCTCCTTGGCTGAGCTGGTGACTGCTGGAGTCCTGTCCTTGAGCGCTGTGCGGAGTGAGGAGGCGGCAGCTGAGCTGGGTGCGGTGAGAAGGCCTCGATGGTGCCCATGGCTGGCCAGGACCCAACGCTGAGCATGAGTCACCCATTCTACAATGTGGCCAGACACGGCATCCTGCAGTTGGCAGGGCCCAAGGCAACAAGCGTCTGCAAACACCTGGAAGACGAGCAGCCCCACGTGCAGCAGCTGCGCAGAGCGGGACATATTGCATTGCTTCAGTGTAGATCAGGCCCCTCCGCGTCTCTCTCTCTGCTTGCTCTTCGCGCCCGTCTGCCTCAACCTGCCCATCTACCCCTGCCGCTGGCTCTGGGAGGCTGTGTGCAACTCTTGCGGCCCACCACGCAGTTTCTTCAGCTTCTGCTGGCCCGAGATGCTCAAGTGCGACAAGTTCCCCAAGGGGGACATCTGCATTGCCATGACCCCACCCAATGCCACCAAAGCCTAAAAAGCTAGAAGACTTTGCAGGAATGAACATCACTCAACTGTTAGAAGTGGCCCAAAAGGTGTACCGGAACCAAGATCATGTGGCCCAGAAAGAAAGTAAAAAAAAAAAAAAAGGTAAAGCATAAGGTGACACCCTCCTGGCAGCGGCACTCGGGGCTCCTGTGTTACCCCAGGCCTCAGTACAAAACCTGGGAGAGGGCTCCGCAGGAAGGGGACACTAAGACTGTGACCAGTGCACATACTGCAAAGAGACGGGGCATTGAAAAAACGAGTGCCCACACCAAAAGACTGCCCCCCCCTCAAGACGAGGCCATCCTCAGGGGTTCCAGATAAAACCGGAGACCCAGGACCTAATTGGCCTCACAGGTGTGAGATCCAAATAAGACTGACCAGGCTCCCTCAACCTTGGCCCCCGGGAGCCCACGGTCACTGTGGACATGGGGGGCCAACCTGTAACCTTCATGGTGGACACCAGGGCTGAGCACTCAATGGTGACCACCCAGATCACCCCTCTCACATGGCGAGAGACAACCATAGTTGGGTCCAGTGGAGACCAGGGCCTCTCTGCCAGCCCTGCTGCTGTCAGCTTGGGGGACATCAGGTAACACACGAGTTTCTCTACCTCCCAGACTGTCCAGTTCCCTTGTTGGGACGGGACCTCCTGCACAAGTTGGGGGCCCAAATCACTTTCCACCCCGAAGGTATGGCTGACCCCTCATTGTCAGCCCTGAAGCCCATGATAACGACAGTCACAGTTCCCAGAGAAATGGAATGGCAAATTTATTCTGGCCCCTGGGCCAAGCTTCACGGCAGAGATCATGCAGACTTTAACTAAGATATTAGGGGTCAAGTGGAAACTCCGCACCGCATACAGACCCCAAAGTTCAGGGAAAGTACAGCGCATGAACCGGACCCTTAAAAACACCCTTGCAAAGTTATGCCAAGAGACAGGGTTACCTTGGGTAGACTTACTTAGTCTAGCATTGCTTAAAGTCAGGTGCACTCCAGGGCCGACAGGATATTCACCCTTTGAAATCTTATACGGAAGGGCCCCTCTCATAATCAAGCAGCTTAAGGGAGACATCACCCAGATAGGGGAAAAGACCCTACACACTCAGCTTATTTCCCTATCCAAAACCCTGAGTCAGATTCATCACAATGTTCTGAAAAGATCCCTATAGCAATGGGACACCCAGTCCACTCACACCAGCCTGGAGACTCAGTCTGGGTTAAAGACTGGAAGAAAACACCACTAGAGCCCGCCTGGACAGGCCCCCACACTGTAGTCTTAATCACACCCACTGCTGTTAGAGTTGCAGGAATAGCACCCTGGATTCATGACACGAGAATAAAAAGGCCACACCTGAGGGGAACCGGGACACCTGGACAGCACAACACGACCCAGAGGACCCACTGAAAATCCACCTCCAGTGTAGCGGCGGCCCAGCAACCACGCCAGAGGTCACCCAAGCCGAATGACCGAGCCAGCCCATTACATCCCATCGGGCTGTTTAGACTATTGACCTTACTACTGGGCATTGGACTTTACTCAGTGGCCCCAGAGGACTGGGGGCCAGGGGAAAGACTGTTATTAGTCATTTTATATGACTATGGGCTGTGGTGGGGTTCCTTTTCTGGTTACAATGTTCTTCCCCATTCTAATCCTTGTCTATCTCCCACTTACAGTCATCAATAGCCCTCTTCCTTGCCCTCCAAAATGTATCCAGGACGTCTGAGAATGTGATGATGTAAATGATTTTTACCCTTGCTACAGAGTCAGAGAGTTTCGGGCTTATACCAGTCTTAAGGGAGATTGTTACATAGACCCACAGATCTGCACTCGGGGCGGTAAAAGATATTGGACAGGTAGCAGATTCCCTAATAACCCTCCAAAACCAACTAGACTCTTTGGCAGCAGTTACCCTCCAGAACAGGCGAGCCCTAGACCTCCTCACTGCAGAAAAGGGAGGGACCTGTATATTCCTAGGAGAAAAATGTTGCTACTATGTAAACCAGTCCAGAATAGTGGCACCTAAGGTAAAAGAATTAAAAGAAAGAGTTCAGAGAAGAAATAGGGAACTAAAACAAACTTGGGGGCTCAATCTAGGCCAATGGACCTCATGGCTATTGCCCCCGGCAGGACCTTTAATAACTATTTTTCTTGTCACTATAGGCTGGTGCCTACTAAGCACAATTATAAAATTTATAAAAACAACTGTAACTCAAAAGGCAACAGCCTACATAATGGCCTTACAAGGCTATCCCCCATTAAAGGATTATGCCCTATAATAGACACATGAGCATAAATGCCTCATGATATATACATAGGGGCATCAAAGGAGGGGAATGAAGTGGAAAATTGGAAAATTCCACTAAAGTGGAATTCTTAGGAAATTCCACTACCGGGTTTTTCTCCCTTGCGATCCTTCCCTGGGCCTCCTCCTCCTCCCCTGCGACCTTTTCCCCAGCAGCTGCCGCCCTCATAAATCACCTGTAGCAATTAGTGTACTGGGCTGTGAAGTAGCTTAGGACTCTGCCTCACTAAAGTTAACCCTGTTGTAACCGTGCCCCTCCCCCTTAAGCAGAGTGTATAAAAGACTGCAATGCTCTTTGTCTGGTGCTCAGAATTTGCGAGGAAAAATCCCCCTCTGAGCCCGCTGGTGTGTAAACCTGTTTTGCCAATATTTCTGTGTGCGCGTTGGTCTATCCCCAGTCATCTCTGCCATAACAGGGTGACTCACACCTGTAATCTTGGCACTTTGAGAGGCTGAGGCAGGAGGATCGCTTGAGGCCAGGAATTCATGACCAGTTTGGACAACATAGCAAGATCCCGTCTCTAAAAAAACAAAAACAAAAACAAAAACATTCTAAAGGTTTTCAAAAGTTAGGCGGCAGCTGGAGGAGCAGATTTGGGAGGGGAAATTGGGAGTTTGGTTTTGTTGTCAAGTCTGAAAAGTTTATGAGATATGTATAGAAGTTGAATAGGTGATTGGATATGATTAAAGATCAGGAGAGAGGTACAGCCTGGAGATACTGTCAACCTTAAATAACAAGATTCAGAAAATTTGATTAAGTATAGAGTTTATTTGAGCCCAAAGCTTGAGGATGGCCACCTGAGAGCATAGATTTAAGTTGCCCTGAATCTACACTCTGATTAGCAGCAATTACAAGGGGGTTTTATTTATTTACTTATTTTGAAACAGAGTCTTTTCCTATTGCCTGGGCAAGAGTGCAGTGGCATCATCACAGCTCACTGCAACCTCAAACTCCTGGGCTCAAGGAATCCTCCTGCCTCAGCCTCCCAAGTAGCTGGGACTACAGGCGTGCACCATTGTGCCTGGCTAACTTTTCTATTTTTTTGGTAGAGACAGGGTCTCACTCTTGCTCAGATTGGTCTCAAACTCCTGAGCTCAAGCAATCCTCCTGCCTTGGCCTCCCAGAGTGCTAGGATTACAGGCGTGAGCCACCGCACCCAGCCCACAAGTGGGTTTTTAAAGAAAAAAGAAGAGGCAGTTCCTAAATTGTTTACCAAGTACTTAACATTAAAATACCATAAGCTATTTTTAAAATTTTTAAACATAAGCTATTGATTGGATATACATTGTTCTTTGTATCACAAATTCCAGGAACCTAAAGATTGTAGGTGAGGCAGCTAGTCAGGATAAAAATGACTTTAAACAATTGCCCCAGGCATGGAGAAGCATGACTCATGCCTCCCATTCTCTTGTCTCCCTGGGCCTGATAAATTTTGTATACCTCACATAGCTCAGACTGCTCTGTGGGTGTTATTTAAAGCCATGAGACTGGAGATCACCTAGGAAATGAATGTACATAAAGAAGAGATCAGGAGACTAAGCCTTGGGACACTGCCAAGGTACAGAGCTCAGGGGAATGAGGAGGAACCAACAAAAGACTGAGTAGGAGCAGCCAGTGAGGTAGGAGCAGAACCAAGAGAGAATTCCAAGTCACGGGAGAAAGCATCTCAAGAAGGGAGTCATGAAGTTGGTCCGAGGGTTGTGGGTTATTGTTAAGCTGATTTAACATTGTTTCCTCCACAACCATGCTTGACTAGCTTAAAAAATAAAAATATAAGAAGGGAGTCATCAGCTGCCAAATGCTGCTGAGACAGAAAGATAAGGAGCACCCACTATGTGCCAGCACTAGGTATACAAAGACAAAGCAGAACATCAGGTATATTGTAGGTGTTGTGAATTAAAATAAAATTTTAAGGCTCACCCCCCCACACCTGTTGACTGAATGGACCTCCTCGTGGCCAAAGGAATATCCTAAAACTAAATTGCTTGCCAGGAGGAAAGAGGTCAGACATGCCTCATCATGTCACCCTCCCTTCTTGGGGACATCCTTTGTAACCCATTAACAGGCCTAAGGGTATACAAGACAAACCTGCAGGTCCTCAATTTACACAACAAATCTATGCCAGTGGCTCATCTCTGATAAACAGCTCCTTATGTTGAAACATTCCAAGCCTTTAGACAAGCTTCATGTCTTTAACCAATTACAAGTCAAAGAATCTTTAAACCCACTATAACCTGTAAGCCCCCGGCTTCGAGATGGCCCACCTTTTCGTGCCAAACCAATGTATGCCTCCCACGTATTGATTTATGACTTTACCTGTAACCCCTGTCTCCCTGAAATGTATAAAACCAAACTGTAACCCAAACTCTGTGAGTTCACTCAAGGCCTCTTGGGCGTGGCTCCAGTTCATGGTCCTCAAATTTGGCTCAGAGCAAATCTCTTTAAAATTATTTTACAGAGTTTGGTCTTTTTTCTGTTGACAGTGTTCATGTATTTTTTTTCAATTGTAAAATACACATAAAAATTTACCATCTTAATAATTTTTAAGTGTATATTCAGTAGTGTTGAGTATATTCATATTGTTATTTGTCAACCTGAAGTAACCAAAAGGATTAGAATCCACAGAGTCTGGCTCTGTTGCCTGGGCTAGAGTGCCGTGGCATCAGCCTGGCTCACAGCAGCCTC